AAAAACCGATACGCACGCCACTGTCTGCTGCAATAAATTCAACTGAGCGAGCGAGCGAGCCCAAGTATCTGCGGTGTTAATTGAAATTTAATCTAGGCAACACGAACGCATCGAATGCGAATGCCAATGGAAAATGTAAGTGAGTGTGTGTGTGTGTGTGTGTGTGTGTGTGTGGGAATGGGCACGGATTGTCCGTCTGTGTGTGTGTGTGTGTTATCGTCCAGTGGCAGTTGGCGGCACAGATTAGAAACATTTGTGCGTCTAAATAGCTAGATGGGACGCTAGTATCTCATGGATACGGATGCGAAAAGCTGGCAATCCAGCTTTCTTTCATACTCTTTTGCCAATCATTTTCCCAGCCATTGCCATCTCATTCTCTGTCTCTCTGTCTTCGTCAGCAGAACGGTTTGCTGTATATACGAGTAATGCGTAGCTATTGCTGATGTTGTTGTTGTTATTGTTGTTGTTTACTGACTATCTGCACTTGAATATCTATCTTGAGGCTTTGCTGAAACGTTGAATTCTGTTTGTCGCTGCTTTAAATCAATTGCCCAGTCGTGCCATTAATTTTTCAAAGTATCTGTTGCCTTTGCTTACAGCATTTTGCTGCCGTCGTTTGTTGCCGCTTTAATTTATTTTGTGTCCTCATGCGAGCTTCACCAAGAGCCGAAAGCCAAACCAAAAGCCAACTCAAAGCCAAACTCAAAGTGGGCTGCTTGCATTTCTTTTAATTTATTTGAGTTGCGATTGATTCGTCGTTGCCAGCGACTTCTGCACTTTCGTGGCTACAAAATGTCTCTTTGTCTGTGTTACATTTCTTCTCCTTTCCCTTCTTCATCTTCTTCTTTTGCTGCTGTTGCCTTGTTTGGCTGCTCATTAATGCCACAACTGTTGTGCAGCAGTTGCACAATTACCAACCTTAGCCGCATCACATAAATATTCCTGTCGAACGTTCTTTGACTTTGACAAACAGAATTTTTCGAGTACTTTAAATTAATTTCATAGAAAAATATCATTCTATGTGCTAAATTTATATGTAGGACTTGCGTACTACATATTGTATACTATATATTTTATACATATATTTTAGTTAGTATAGTCTCAATTTTCTACTCGATTTGAAGTAGTTTAAATTAATTTTGATACACAATATATATATAAAACTTGAATTATGTATTTCATTCATAATATAAAATAATTGTACTGTGAATAAATGGAATGGCTTTCTGTCATTTAGTTTTTTATAGTGTTATACAAGAATAATATGCTTTGTAAGCAAATGAAGGCTAATGGAGTAGAGTTTGTTCAGGACTAGAGATAATCTACTAATTGAATAGCTTTTTATCTCTTTATGTGCATTTTCACCTAGTATTCCCCAGCTGCACTTGCAGCACATTTACGTGTGTATGTGTGTGTGTGTGTGTGTGAAGTCAGCCCTGTGACTTTGTGGCCCTAAGCGAGATATAGTTATGTATGTGACATTTACTGTTTGCCGGGTCGTCGTAGCTGCGTTGCTGCATAGCAACCAATTTATTTCATTCATTTCAAATCATTCGACAAACTATGGCCCGGCCCGGGCAGCTTCCTTTCATTATTTATGGGATTTTGTGGACGCACTCAGCGTGTGATTGTTTATGCTGGCCATCCCCTCCAGTTCCATATGGAGTCTGCAGTTGCAGCAGCATCAGCAACATCAGCAGCAGCAGCAGCAGCAGTTGCAGTACCAGCAATCATAATAATATTTTTGCAAGTGCTTCGAATGGTCGCAATGGCTGGTCGCAATGGCTGTCGAGTAAACTGGAGACTGGCTGACTGGCTGACTGTGGATGGCTCTGTGTTGTCATCGCATTATTATTCCGCTTCGACGTTTTCTGCTCTTTTCCTTTGCTACTTTACTATTATGTGTTTCTTTGATTTCATTTCTTTTCTGCTTCTTTCTATTTTTTTTCTTTCTTTTTTTACTTGCCATAAATGGTTCATAAAATTTTATACGCTCGTCCATAAAGGAAACCGTTTGCTCCACTTTCCACTCGCAGCTAGCGAATGCAGCTTGCATTGAAAATAAGTTCCAAAGATCTGCAGCGACAACTAAGTAGATATTGAAAGGTCTCTGGAGACAAATAAATGGCAAAATCAACAATTGATGAATGCAAAACTTGTGCAACTTTGAGTTACATTTAATAAATTCTCTATTGTTCAATATGGAAAGGAAATGAAGGAACTTTTTATTAAATATTATATATGTATCAATATCAACCTCTACCGGCCATTGCCACTAAATTTATTATTGGTCTCAACCTCCATTAAATTTAATTTAATTATCGATATTATTTAAACGCTTTCATATATTATTTTTATTTTATTTATGTATAATAATATTATTACAAATACATATATTATTTTAAGCTTATTAGGCTTTTTCGTGTAATACTAATTTAGTTTCCCTGTGATAGTTTGGATAATATATTTGCCTCTATACAATTTCTGTGAGTTTCGCTTTAATATTCATATTTCGCCTCTTGAGGTTTATTCACTTGTCTATATTAGTTTCAGTTAATTGACAGCTGATTTGATCTAGGCATCAGTTTCCGCATGCAGCTCGGATTTTCATTTCCCTTTCGATTTTCATTTCCATTTGATGCTCAGAAGTGATCAAACGAGATGCAAGTAGCGATTGCAATTGTTTGACTTCAAAATGGGTTTCGGGCGAAATCGCTTAGATGCTTGGCTTCAGCCACATACGAGCATATCCATCCCTGTGGCTTGGTATCTTCCGCGTTGCCAAAATCAAATTCGTGGGGCTTATGCAACCCGGGGCCAGCAAACGGCGACAGCCCAAAAACAAAGCTGGCCAAATCGCTATTGGAATCGGTGCGGTGCTTACGTGACCAGCCGAACGACTCAATTTCAGCAGGCAGCAAACAAAAACCATACAAAACTAAAAAACTGAAAAACTAAAACAGAAAACACAGAGAAAAGTTACCGGTGCATGGTGCAAGCCGTTGCCATGCCTACAGTCCCCCAGCCGCAGCCGCAGCCCCAGCCCCAGCCACACAGTCCAAGCCCCAGACCCAACCTTAGCCCGCGCCTCTGTCGCTCGCCCACAGCTACAGATATTCGTTTTCGTATTCGTTTTTGTCTACTTTTTGAGTTGTTTTTTTCTCATACATTGTATGTGTATCTTATTATCAAGTCGCGCTGAGTTCGCTGGCCGTTCATGAACTACAAACGCCGCTGGCTGCGTTTTACGCTTTGCATTGCATCGCATTGCAATCCGCAATCGGCAATTGCCAATTGCCAATTGGCAACTGGCAGCCGCGCGGCCACGCGGCCTGTCCTCGATGCGGTTGTTGGCTCTTTACGCTTTGCCGTATCACAGGCGAACGCACTGTCCGCGAATAGCTCAGAGATAATCGACTTTAAGATACTCTCAGCTGTGATGCCTATGAAATGTATCGTAAGATGAAGGCAATAACGACTTTATGATGCTCTCAGCTCTTGATGATTTTACTTAATGTGTTGCAGCAATGTTTGCTTGGGGTTGGGCATATACGAAGCTGGAGCTGCTCTGCTTATTTATTAATAATAATATATATATTTGTGATGTGTGCGACATTGAATTTGAGATTTAAATGTGTTTCGAGTGTGTACTAAAAATAAGTTTAAAAAATTTACTTCAGAGACCGAAATGTTTGTCCTATTTTTTTTGGGGGGGTTTCAATACTGGGGCACCTCTTTTAAAATAAAATAAAATAAAATACATGTAAATAATAAATAGTGTAGGGTATATAACTGAAATGAAGAAGGAATTTAATCGTTAAATAAATACATTTGTGTTGGCCTTCCACTTGCTCTTATATCATAAATATTATGAGCAACTTTATGATCTATATGTAGATCCCTTTATATAGCGATAAATTGTATATAAATATTTGCATAATATATTAAAGAAAATTAAACACCTATTATCATACAATAAATATTTCAATATCTCAAAATTTTGTAGTGGTCAATGCCATTAATAAGAGATAAAATAAACACGTAAATTGCATAGCACTATGGCAAGTATGGTAAAGTTATCTTTATTCACAAAAAAGATTTATAGATATATTTAAATACATAAATATCATAACATTAACTATGATAAAAAAAAATGTTATAAAGTGTTTGTCATTAAAAAGGCGTATACATACATATATTCGTTGATACTCGAATAAATAATTTTATATACTTACATTATTTAGAATAATATAGTTAATTATTATTGTTTAATATTTGGTTTAGATAGAACCTTCAAACAAGCCACATCTGCTTTGATACCCTCACCTGCAATTCGTTTGTCTGAATGAATAGGATCGCTGCTGTCTCTGTCTCTGTCTCTGTCTCTGTCGCTTTCGTTGCTGCTAGCTGCCGCAGCTAGCATATATAAATTTGTATTTAAATTGATTCAATCTCCATCTCATGTTGTATTAATTGCATTAAAATTTAATTTGCTTGCCATTGCGAAAAAAATGCTTAAAATAATTTCAATTTCCTTTGCAAAACTAATTGCAAATCAATTTAATTTAGATTCTGTTGAAAGTTTACTCCTAATATCATATGCAACCTGTTTAGTTGGATTCGATTCAAGTCTCTAAATTAATGAAATGTAAATTTTATTTTCAATGCAGTTCAGTTCAATTTTAAATTAATTTATATACTATATTATGTAAATTCATTTATTTTGTAGTATATTTGAATACAATGCTAATGTATAAAAACAATAATATTAAATAATAATATTAATATTAAATAAAATCTTTTTTGTTTTAGATTGAACCAGCTATATATTGATATATATTAATTATTTGAATTCAATAATAAATAATTATAATTATATATAGAGAAATATATTACAGAAATATTTTAAACTTTTTCCCTTAATTAACTTTTTAATAAGATGCATATAAATAAATGTGTTTAATTAAAATCATGAAAGGGAATTTTGAAGTACTTAAATGCTTAATTCTGTGGGCTTAGCCTACAATTCAAATTAGCTTAATTGCAAACTTTTTCTCTCTCAATTGTCGCACTTAGCGGAAGCTTGTTGCCAAGTTCCTGACAGTGAAAGCCTGTTATAGGTGTTATATACACATAATCTCGTGCGTAGCAGCAGGAGAGGAGTCTCCACGCACACATCTTGTTTATCATGATGTCTTACGATGTCTCACTTTTGGCTGTAGCGCTTCAGAAAATATTCCATTGTAGCGAAACGTTGGCGAAGCCAGAAACAAAATCAAGGCACTTTTCTATACTTGAAGTTATGATGTGCTGACAACGACGACGACGACGACGATAATGATGATGATGATGATGATGAAGCAACCTCCGAATTTCGAGTGATAGACAAATATTTCTAAGCACTCAGTACTTAACGCAGTGCGTAATGTAAGCGCGAGCGCGCTTCTCTCTCTCTCTCTCTCTCTCTCTCTGTCCCCCTCTCACTTACTTTGTCTCTCGCTTTGCAAGCCCTCGTCTCAGAATCTACTCTTGTCGTTTGCATGGGCCGCACTTCAATGCTGGCCACTTGAGTCACCTCTTCGTCGCACTTCACTCAAGATATGCCATGAACGATACCAGAGGCCAGACTGGAATAATAAGAAGCAAGTACAAACTTCATTAGGGCAGAGCATGCATCGTTCACTTTTCTCTAAAGATCTACCACACACAAAACATCTTTCAAGTCTAGTTCATACATTTAATTTTTCTGTGTGAGTTCTTGATTTTAGCATGAGTTAGTTAACTGAATACCAAATCATGTAGAGCTCAGCTGATGTTATATAATTTTTTCTTATGGCATTTTCTGAAAATTATAATACAAGCATGTGAATTTACCTTTTTAGCATTCAATTAAAAATAATATAATTATAATTAAATTTCTATATCGTTTACATACTCTACGCAAAGTTCTGCAAATGGCTTTGCAGCTCTAATGATAATCATATTCAAGAAAACCCTTCAAATTTCTAAACGTTTGCCAGATTTTAAGCTCACTCAAATATGATATTTACAACACGAACAACATATGAAGAATTGTTTTCTTAATAAATTGACCTCGCTAATAGCAATTACGACATTCACTTTTTAGATTTTATTGTATTTTGACTCAAGTGGAAACCAAAGATCTGTCCTCTCGATTCCAAGCTATATATGTTAGATAAATATAAACATCATAGACCCTTAGAGCTAGACAGTTTCTTTATATTTTATTGGCCTCCGGTGAAGTACACTGGGATGATTAATACGGTAAAATTTGAAGAAGTTGACTACGTAAAAATTTTAGACAAATGATGTGGACGAAAACGTGGATCCGAGAGACCGTGCTGTATCAGGAGTGGACGTATGCGCTTGCAGCCCGCGTCGTCGACATCGAGCATCGCCTCCTCAACGATGTGGGAGATTGTTTTCGAGTCCAGCGTACGCTGCTCCAAGCGCAACTCGTTCTCCAGACAGTCCAACACTTCGGCTCGTCCGAACGGCCGATAGTTGATGATGGTCGTGTCCATGGGCAGCTGCTGCAGCAGCTCGTACTGCTGCCAATAGTATTGCATTTCCAGATTGAATATGTAAATCACCAGCACACTTTGATTAGCCGCCTTGCAGGCGTCACCCTCTCGTTCCAGCAGCAGCTTGTTGTAGAGGGGCACAAAGCTGTAGTCGCAGGGCGACAGATTGTCGATTATCAGCAGATTTTGGCCACAGCTGGACAGCTGCTCCACAAAGTTGCGTATCACATTGAACTTGTGGGCGTCGTCCGGGACATAGGTGCTCCACGAGTAGCTGTGCACGTTCTCCGGCCAGGGAAACTGTTGCCGCAACACCATTGCGGTCAGTGTTTTGCCCACGCCCGGTGGACCGAGCAGAGCCACCGATCGCAATGGTCTGTTGCTCTTGGCGGCGCGTTCCAGGCGCGCTAGTGCCTGCTCCTGGTTGATCACCTGTTTGCTGATCTGACGGAATATGCGCATCGTGTCCAGTTTCTGCCTGCAGTGAAAGGCATGTGGCGAATCTGGATCCGGGTACTGGATGCTAGCACTTTTCGCCACGGTGTCCAGACCTAGGATGCCCGATACGCCCAGCCAGAGGGCACTCAGTGAGCTGGATATGCACGAATGCAGGCTAAGTTGGTCGTCCGACGTGCTTTCCATGCTGTGCAGCCAGAGCACCAACACCAATGTGGCCATGGCCGTCAGTATCATCAGGCCCTGCAGCATGTTGGCATGCTGGCTGCTCTGCAGCTGCTGCCGATAGGAGTAGCAGCTTGTATTTCTTAAGATTCCACGTTTACGTGGGTCTTCAAAGTCGCCGGAAAGTCTCGACTCCCCGGACCGTGAGTAAGAACCGTGTGAATGCATTCTATTTAAGGTTATATTTGCTAACCAATTTCCTATACGAATTAAAAAAAGCAGAAAACACTATGGAATAATTTAGAAATATTTTTTTTTTTTTTTTTGAACGGAGTTTCCAGAGGATTAAACTAAATTTAAATTATGAAGATTTGTTAAAAACGAAAATAAAAACACAGTTCTGACAGTTGTTTCTGCTGAAAGGGGTAAAACGATCTAAGAAATGAAATTCAGACAGTGTTTTATAAACATAACTTAAACCAGAAAAAAGTTTTGTTAACAGTTAAAACCTATTTTAACTTTTGAAAGAAAATGCAAACACTCAAGTACTTTTTAATGTGTATTATTTATAGGTTTTTGGATAAAAATAAATGCAAGGAGTTCGGCAAAAAATGTTATAAATTATTATCGAAATATGAAGTGTTGTTAAAAATACATGTTACATTTTTTGTTTCCAATGTATAACCGTCCAACAACTTCAATAAGGTAATTAGCTATTTGATGTGAGTCAGTATTGATGATGATAGCAAGCATCATTAGCATTGATGAGCCTATTAATTAGTCTTGAGAGCAAGTTAGATCAGTTGTATGAGCGGGCTTGATCAGTTTTTAAAAGAAACTTCGATCAGCCATGTGTGCAGCATTGATCAGTCTTGATCAAAATTGATAGTGTTAATAGCAATCTTAAACAGGCTTGATTAGACTTGACAGGAAGTTTAATCAGCTCAGAGAGCAAGTTTGATCAGTATCGGCTATCATTCAGAGCTAGTTTGATCAGCCTAGGGAGTATGAACAGTCTCGGAAGCAAGCTAGATCAGTCTTGGGAATAAGTTTGATCAAGTGTGATCAGTCTTCATATATCGTTTGAGCAGTCACAGAAGCCAGCTTGAAGAGTCTCGATATCAAGTTTGATCAGTCTTTGGAATAAGTTAGATCAGTCTCGACATCAGTCAAGGAAATTTGATCAGTCATAGCAAGTTTGTTCAAAACAAGATTGATCATTCTTCAGAGAACGTTCTCTGAAGCAAGTCTTCATTGAAAACAAATTCAATTAGTTTTGATTAATCTTGGAATCTTGTTTGAAAATTAATTAATAAATTATGTTTAGGAGAAAATAATTCGTATAATTATATGTATAACAGAATATCTAAACAAATGAAGCAAATTACAAATAAGTTAAATTATAGGTAGATATTTTTATTATTGTTTATAATTAATAGTCCGAGATTCATTTCAGTTATATATGTATATGTATGTGCTATGTGTGTATACGTTTATGTGCACAGCTGCTTTTTATTTAAATATAGTTGAACTTGATGGCCGTTCTGCTTACAAATATAATTATACGCTTTGTTAGTGAAACGCCACATGAATCCATGCGGAGTACGGATGCGGTGTTCTAAGCATTTCTTTTTGCATCCAGCCATTAAAAGCGCTTACTCATCATTATCAGGCAACAGTCATCAAGGCAGGCAAACAGCCGCAGCGGCAGATCAGCTGATTCGTGGCTGCGGCAGAGAGACAGACATTACCATTAGGCTGACAATTAAGTTTAGACTCGCGCGGAAAGCCGGCAGCCAGCAACTGGGCCACGACTCTTTGAAAGCTGAGATCTAACGATCGTGATTGCCAAACAACAGAAAACAGGCAGCCAGCCAAAGAGACGACTGGTCTGGCCAGACGTAAAAGCCCAGTTCAGTTTAGTTCAGTTCAGTTCAGGCCAGGTCAGCAGGCCAGGCGAGACGGACACGCGGACGTAGACGTAGACGTAGACGTACACGTAAACGGAGAAGAAGACAGCCACAAACAGAAACAGAAACAGAAACGGAAAACTGAGCCATTTGGGTGCTTGGCAACAAACAACAACAGCTCAGAGACAACAAAACACTTCAATTCGTAATAGACCAAAATTGAGAAAACCTTCAACTAGCTATGCATGAAGCCGCACAGCAAACACTCTGCCTAAATCAAAGTCTTGCCTAGTAAATGGAATACAAATCCGTCGCTTGATCTTTCTACATTTTTAAAAGGTTCATAAATTTAATCCCATGTCCATGACTAAATAACGAAATGGAAAATAGACTAAACAAAAGTGTTTGTTGTCTACAAATTTAAATTTTTTATTAAACTTAATTATGTTCCAGAAATCACATTTGAGGTACCAAAGCATAAATTTTAAAGAAAACTTTCTGATTCGCTTCTTCTATTTGAATTGATAAGAACTAATTTTAATCTACCTTGCTGTCTGTTTGAAATAAAGGGTATTCAGACAAAAGATTCGGTGAATGTGCTGACAAATAGATGGATGGATAGATAGAAAGATTGATAGACACACACACATAAAAATAAAAACATATATTTATATATGTACAGAGACAGAGACAAAGACAGAGACTGTCAGACAGAGAGGTAGATGGTGATGTAGATGGAGAGACAGATTGAGAGACAGACACTTGTTGGAGCACAGAGCCGTAACGGTTTCTCAAAAAAGTAAAAAACTAAAAAATCAAGTTGGGCGACTTGCAAAAGTGTCTTTCATAAATCAGTCAACAGCTCTGGCTAACAGCTACCAGCTACCAGCTAGCAGCTCCGTCAGCTGTCAGACGAGAGATCATTTTTGGTCGCTTGGGTTCGGTTCAGCGCGGTAATTATGTCTCTACTCGCTGGAGTACTCATATGTGTGTCATTATGATCCAAGAGCAGGCAACAACAATAACAATGATTATGATGGCGATGATGATAATGATGATAATGATGATGATGATGACGATGATGACAATAATAACAGCTACAGAGACTTGGCAGACTTGGCGGCTCTGGGGTAAAAGTTTGTTGGCCCTCAAGTGCCGCCTGGCTGAGACATTTGGCTGACTTTCCGTTTTTGGCCATATTTGATTTGCTGCTGTTGCCAACCGTTTTGGAACGGGCCAACTGCGACGGCAGCCGTTGCTGCTGCCGCTGCCGCTGCTGAGTCAGCGCTTTTAATTGTTGCCAAAAGCGGAAAAGTTTTGCAAGTGAAAAGTAGGCAATGAAAAAGTCATTTGGAAAATTGACAATCAGCAAACGAAATTTACAAATTCGTTGCTAGCGGAACGCGTAGCCCAGTAAACATTAGTAATGAGCCTACAGAGTGAAAACTAAAATAATAATAAATAGTAATAAAACACAAATAATAGAAAATAATAAAACAAGAATAGAAACATAAATTGCGGTATATAAAACTCCAAAAATAATATTCAGTTACTTAAAATAAATAATATTTAATTATTAAAATGGAAAAACGATA